TTCAGTTCGTGAGAGAAATTGTTCGCCAAAGAAACAGTAACAGTGGTTGGAGCAGTGGTATTTTATACAGTTTGTCAAGTATTCACAGACTACTAAACAATACAGCACTTATTTGTTGTCGTCTGAATCTAGCGAAGCATATCACTGAATCATAGCACTACCTTATTGCAGAAAGTTGCATTCACTGTACAATGTATCATCAAATTTTTTCAATTCTAGCCAAAATTTTTTTTCCAGAAGACACTATACGTATCATCATCAAAAAAAAAAAAAGATTCAGAAAAAGAAGCGAAAAAAGAAAGGAAATAAAGAGTTATTTGGTGTAACCGTATCAGTTGGCCTTTCACCTGTCAAGCAGTTTGTATTTAACGTAAATTTGCTTTTTACGAATTAAAATAATATTAAAAAAATGTTTTTTTTAGCAAAAATTCAATTAACAATGTTTATTTTTTTGTTTTAAGTTATTATTTTGTTTTTAAGCTTAGAGACTCCTCTAAACAAAAAAAAAAAAGAACACCTCTTTCTTACTGATATTTTATAAATATATCAAACCCTATTGTTTAGTTATTTACCCATAAAAGAAAGAAAAAGAGAGAAATATCAAAGAAAATTTCATGATCTTTTTTTTTGCCTATCAAATTTTGTAAGAATGGTAAAAAAATTAGAAATCTATGCAGACCGGTTTTGGAACAACAACAATTGAGATAACTGAATGATAACAAGATGTCTGTCTAAGGTATGTTTTCTTCATAGCTGTATAAAACAGATAATTTGGTAAGGAATTTTATTTTGCTACCTTTTGTTTAGTCATTTTTACTGACTTTAGAAAGTGAATAATTTTTTTTTTCAAATGTACAACTATTTTGATGGTTAGTCATAGTCCATTTTTTATAGGTAAATTGTAACTAATTTTTTTTTTCTGAAACACTTAAGCAAAAAAGGTTGTAAAGCTAATAAAGTTTCTGTTTAACTAAGGTTTTTGAGACGTATAGGAGACAGACGATGACGATGTTAGAATAAGTTGTTTAAACATTTACTTAGTTTATTTGTAACCCAAAGAGCAGTTAAGAGTTAAGTGGAACTATTAATTTGATAACCGTTCTTAGCGCTGTGAAAAAATACGGTTTTATAGGAAACAATCAAAAGAATTTTTTACTAAAAAATGTAGCAGAAGAAGCAGTAAAGAGAAAAAAAATGCTGTAATAGAAGCAAAAAAAAACCTCACCAAATTTAGAAATTTTACACACTGAATACTGCATCAATAAATTAGCTGAATTCTTGTTTTATTTCAAAATTTTTTTGATTTCATAAATCAAGAAAAAAAACTATTGTTCTTCCTTAGTCTTTACTCAGTTTACTATGAATCATTTTGTGTAAACTAAACATTCAACAACTTTTTACTGTCACCATTGTCGTCTTTACTTTTTTTTTTTTTTCTGGTTGCTACCAATACTGTTACGGTGTACTGACGATATCGAACGATGATGATGACGATGATGAACATCACAGGAATTGTTGGGTGACAGAAGAAATGTCCAAACCAATACTGAAATCTTAATTAGTGTGTCATCGAGCCACTGTACCCTATATAGGGTGACAACAAGTACTATGGTTATTTGCTACCCACTATGCTCCAACAATTCTACTACTGTTACTGGTCGTCCTCGTCGTCATCGCTACCGTCACCATCACCATCATTGTCGTTGTCATCATCTTCTGTCGTCACAGTTGACTAATCATCATTTATTTAAACTGTTGTTTATCCTCGTTTCACCTTATGCACTTTATTCTGTAGCATTACTCAGTAGGATAATGAACAAATACAGGTCATTAATGTTACTAAAATCTGCCTATGAAATATTTCTGTTTTCTAGTTGCTGATTACATCTGCTTGCTTGTAGTGCTTTGAACATTTGGATAGGTTTATAAGCCACAAGTTATGTGCATTTATTTGTGTTTAATTATGCCCTGCTGAAACAAACCGGTTGCTGTTCAGTGAAAAAGCTGTCATAAAAAAAATTGTTTTCAGGATTGTTGATTGTTAGGTTAAAAACTCTGTTTTTTTTTCTTATAGTTTTAGCTTCTTTATTTGTTTTTGTTGTTGATTAAGTAGATTTGGTATTATTATTTGGTAAAAAACTCTAATAACGTTATTGTACATATTCTAAAATTCTATCAACGTAAGAAAATTTTTCTTCTACAACTATTTCAGCAAAAAAAGAGAAAATTTTGAAGAATCAAGAAGAGAAAGAAAAAAAAAAAAGAAAAATTTAATCGATTTGAAGAAAATTGTTTTAGTCTTTTTGTATTTTTGTTGCTTGTTACACCTTTTCAAATTGCACTAATAACTGAAAAACCTTTCAGGTTTCTATACCTTTTGTTTATGTTCAAAAAATCAAAACTGAACAAACAACAAAAACAATCACAAATATGTGTAGTTCTGAAAAAAAAAAAGAAACAATTTTTTTTCTACCAGTTTTATACCATTGAATATTTTAATTTTCATCACGCTACTTATTTGTTGGCTTTTCTTGATGTATTTTTCAATGTTTTCTTAATTTTAACGACCTTCAACCTTTCTCCTGTAAAAAAAAAGTGCAATTCATCTGTTTGTGTCGGTATAAAGCTAAAAGTGTTTTTCAAAGAATTCCTAAAATATTTTGAATAACAAAACAAAATAAAACTGAGCTTTATTAAAAAAAACCTATAAACTTATTTCTGTTGATCATTAGACGATGTTACGTATAATAAGCATATTAAAATTATGTATCACTTTGTAGTCTCTTCCTAAACTTGATCTTCGTCTCCCAAGATAGCACAATTTATTTGAGATAAATTACATTGTATATTTATATATTTTACAGAAAAAAAAAACAAGTAAACAAGAAATTTTTAATTTTAGCAACTGAACGATCGGTATGCAAATGTTGTTTCAAATTTTTTGCTTATTGGCTTTAATTGGTACCATAGAATCCTGTACAAATCGAAATGTCACCGTAGTCGGTACAGTTGCTTGTGGTAATCACAAACAACAGAATGTCAGAATTGAGCTACGTGAATCTGATACCTGTAAGTCTAACAATTTTTTATCCTCAAAACGAAACTATAACATTTTTACCTAAATTATCAAAAAAAAAAAAGTTGCTGCACATTTTAAATAACTGTAAAGATCACAGTATAAAAACGATGTGCTAATTTTGTTTCTTAGAATAACTGTTGATTAAGGCTGTTCTTGATCACTATTGCTTGACGATGAATCAGTGAAAAAACAGTATTATAGGTAATTACACAACTAATAAAGCTTCAAGTTTTGGTTGATTATTCTAAATTGGTTAAATAGTTTATGTCAGTTTGAAAATATCAAACTTTGCAGTTAGTTTTTAGTTGGTCATATAATAAAAACTGTTAACTCTGAAACCATTAATACACAACTATTTCATTTTTCCTGTTGTCTGTATCAACAGTATTTTTCTTTTTAGTTTCTCCAGACGATTCGTTGAATAAAACAGTGAGTGATCATGAAGGAAACTTTCATATTTATGGTGAAGAATGTGAACATTTTGGCATTGAACCATACCTACGAATAACGCATAACTGTGATGGTGGAGTAAACAATAAGGTTTGTAAACGTTTTTGACATCTCTGTTCAAAAAACTTTGATAATTGCTTTTTATTTTAAAAAAAAAAATTTTTTTTCAAAAGTATTTTACTAAAATACTTGCTAATTTTATTTTGCAAATGAAACATCTGGAAAAAAAATAATGATAATCTGCTAATTACTAAGCAGGTTTTTATTTTTTTTCAACTAACTGAAACAGATTATCTGTTTACAGAATCTATGTGCAAAAATTGTTTTGTTTGAGTGGAAAGTTTGATCCTCTATTAGGGTTACTAAATCGATTGAATTTTCAAAGATTAGAAATCTGAAAAAGAGAGGAAATCAGAAAATAAAATTTTTATTTTTAGCGCTGTATTATCACTGATGATTTCCCAATTCCAAAAGAATTCATCGACAAGAAATACGATATGGGTATTGTCAGCCTAAATATAGCCAGATCGAATCATAAGAAAACTTGCACTTCATTGTGATAAAAGATCAGATAATCAAACAGAAAAAAAAATTGAAAAAACAAGAAACAAAATAAGAGCAATGACTGTTTATACACTCCAATTATTATGTATAAATGATGAAAAAAGGAACAATTGTTGTATTAAAAGTATGAATAAAAAAACTTATCATAAAATATCGAATTAATGCAAAGAAGAGGATTTATTATTGACAAAAATAAGAAAACCAAACTAATCAGGTCGAAATTGAGCACTCTAATTGCTATCAGTATCAGTCCATAAGTTCATCAGTTATACAATTGACTACTGACCAACGACTGTTAATTCTGTCAGTACCTCTCATTTCTGTAACTTTTATTCTATGTTTGTTAGACCTAATGCCAAATATAATGTATACAAAAGAAATCTAAGAATAAATTAAGTATCAAAATCACTCAACAAAAAAAATGAAAGTTTTTTATAAATTGTATTCAATCATTATTTTTGTTGTTTAACACGATAAATGTATGAAATGAAACTAATATTTCAAGAAAAAAGAAAAAAGACAGTAAAAGTTTTAGCCAAGTGAAATAAGACCATTGAAAAAAAATGATATTTATCAGCTAAATAAACTAAATTTTCAGGATTCAACAATGAAACTGTGTCACATTGACAAGCGAAGTTTCATTTTAAATTCATTTACAGCTTCTAAGTCGCATTTATCATCCAATTGTCTGCACATTTATACCAAACCATTTATCAACCTAAGATGTTCTGCATTACTACAGATTAGTCAAACCTAAATGTTTTTGCAAAAAAAGTAAAGGAAAACCATTTTTTTTTTTGCAGTAACATAACTACTAATTTTGTAAATTTATCAAAAGAAAAAACTTAACAGAATAATTTCCAAAAATTTTCTATAACTAATTTCAGATCAAAACGCAGATTATATATAGCAAAGTGAAGAGAGTAAGCAGTTTTCTTCAAAGGATTTTACTTTGACATTATCATTTTCGTTATCAGTCTACACTCATTTCCTAAGGAAAATAAGGCTATAAGTAATAAAGAAAAATATACAAGTACGCGTCGGTGGTTCAGTGGTAGAATGCTCGCCTGCCACGCGGGCGGCCCGGGTTCGATTCCCGGCCGACGCATATCCTTTGTTGCTTATTTCCGTTTCAAACATTAATTAATAATCAAGAAAAAAAATGAGTTTTTTGGTTATGCGGTAAAACAAAACCTCGTTTAAATTTATTTGCACATATTTTACAAGTTCTTTAACCGAAAGATTTGCTGTTTTACAATTTTAGTTTTATAATTTTGTAAAACTGTAAACAGGTCCTAGTTAGTCACAAAAAAATCTTTGTCACATATCAGTCAAGTAAATTTTATTAAGGTTTTGAAAATATTCTGAAATTTAACCTTAAAGCAGTAGCATTTATTATTAACAATTGTTTTTAAAGTTTCAGTAAACATTTATATTATTATATTCTTTCTCCACAGATACTCTTGATAGCTAGCACTAAGAATGTAAGTGCTTGTCAAAATAGAACATTTCAGGATACTTGAAAGAGTCTAGCATTGCTAAAAAATTATTTGTAATTTGAAACCAAATTCTCAATAAAATTTGACGAAGAAAAATACAAATTAGTGTACGATCAACACTGTTCTCCGGAAAAAATTCTGGTTTTTTCAAATTTCCTTAAAGTAAACTTTGAGAATTATTGCTTTTACTTGAAAGCATAAACGTTAATAATAAATTTAAGAAAGAGCAATGAGAACAGATAACTTACAGGTTTTTTAACAATCACATTTACTGGTATTTAAAACCAGTAAACCAAAATATACAATATGAGGTGTAAAACGGCTGCAGAACAAATAGTAGTGCTTCGTTTAGTATGAAACATAAGAAATTGAACGAGAAATAGAATAACAAAAATTCTATTTATCAGAATCTTCTTTCCTCTTTAGCTGGTTTTATAAAAAGTAGTTAATAGTTTTATCCCGACAACAGCTAACATACTGGCAAAGTCACACGGTAATTTTTGTTCACAGAAGTGAATCTTCGTGCTGTCTAAAGAAGCTTATCTAATTTTGCAGTTAAAACTCTAAGCAGGTGCCAGTTATTCAGCTGTAGTTCTGGTACTTCTAAGCTGTTTTTTTTTTTTGAATAAAGAGGCTTCAATTCATTCAGTGTATCAGCGTCAAGTAGCTTTCTTACCTGTAGATGTCAAAAGTTGTTCTTGTATCTCTTCAGTAAATAAATTGAATGCAAAAAGTTGAAAAGTGGAGATAAAAATGTTTATTGATCATTTTATGAGAGAATAAGTAAATAGCAAAAGAATTACGTAGCATATTATTATTACAACGACAAAATTCATTTTAACAAAAGAAACCAATTAGTTGCAATTGAAGTAAAACAAAGAGTGTTCAGGTATGCAGAATCAAAACTGAATTACGGACCATAAAAATATACTTTAAAAACGCACTTTTGTCATCACTGTCACTGCCGAAAGCAGTAATCTGTTGGAACGTCGAATCTACTGGTCATTCCAGAAGCAATTATTCGGATAATGCTGCTATTTTTACAAAATAGCAGTGAACCGTATACATGAGGAAGTGAATAAACGGATATTGCTCTAAATTAAACGTAACATCTAAAAAACATACTTTTTCTCGACGGTTTATCAACAACAACTTTAATTTTACTTAAATCGTTGATTTTGAATGATTGATACACAAAATATGGTGAAAATCTGTTTAAATTCAGCATGTCATAATGAAGATTTGTATTAATTATTTGTTTTTACAGATATTTAGAAATGTGTACTAAGCAAATCAAAAACAGTTCATAAGCAGAAAACTTTAGTTAGATTCTAGCAATTTAAAAGCCTTTATTAAACAACTGAGACACTCAAATTTAGTGTTGTTCTTCTGAAATGTTTGACAAAAAAAACCTTACTGTCAGCTTGAGTTTACAAAGTCTTTTTTTTTTGATTCGGGATTTTTGAGGACGAGTGAAGAGTTTTAGATGTATGACAATTGAAAACATAAGTGTCGCGACCAGACGCGAAATGGCAGATCTCTGAATCTTCAGAGTTCTGCTTGAAACCGAGAAAATAAGCAAAAAACTGAAAACTTGAATTTTATGACAAAAAGCAAAAATCAATTTTAAATTTTAAAAGGTTGAAAAAGCTGTAAACATTGAATTGAAAAGTCAGAACAAAAAGTAGTCTAAGTGTCGAGTACTGTAAAACCTTTAAAAAGAATAAGAATTCTAAGCAGTGACTATTTCTTAAATCGTAACTTAACTAAAACAAAAAGTTTCGCCACTCTTTTTTATTTGCCAGTAAAGTAATAAATATTCATAAGAAGACATCAAGAAATGCAATAAAATCTATAAATTGAAGAACTAAAGTAAACAAAAAGCAGTAATCTGAAAAAATATTTGAGGTTTTCAAAAACTTTTTCAGAAGCAACAAGTCTCGACCGAGGAGTAACCGTGTATTACAACGCCAGACAGATAAGCAGTTGGAAAGCTCATGTGGTCGTTACCTCAGTTCTTTTTCAGTAAACAATTCTAGATCTTCTTAAATATTTTTATCACTTTAATAATGCAGATTCTCAACTTTTTTCTTGGATTTCTGACTTCGTTTTTAAGCTGGAATATAATTACAGTTTCCTAAAACTAAAAAAGTGTTCTAAACTTGCTAATGATTAATGCTGCAGTTCATCTCAAGAGGCTGGCATCGCACTACTACTACAGTCTATAGAACTAGATGCGAAAGGTTTGTTCCAAACAGATGAGAAGTGAATCTAATAAAGTCTTAAAAAATAGTTAAGATAATTTAATGTCTCAAGTGTTCAGCTACTATAAATAAGTTTCCTTACACTACCAGTTAGTTGATAACCGTTTGTTGTTGCTCAACAAAAACTCGACATATTTGCGAATGAAGTTTACAAGAAGTTGTAAACTAAAATTATAGGGTAGTAAGGTGAGCTGTTAGGCAGTTGGTTATAGAAATTGATATGTTTTTTGGAAATTTTATATCAGAAGAAAGACCTTTACAAATACAAATAAACCACATAAAGCTATATAGCAGGTATTTTTTTAGACTTGTGAATTTTTTATGCGTTGATTTAAAAAAAAAAAACCTGGTTTCCTTCTATTAAAAATGGCTGTTTACAGCTATAAAAATAAAGCTAAAACGTTTGCCTTTCTGAGCCAATAAAATATTCAACAAGCAGAAAAGAATGCATTCAAAAAAAGAAAAAAAAAAAAAAAAAAAGTAGTGAAGAAAGAAGTGAAAAAATAAATTATTTAGTTCAGTATCAGTTGTTAACAACTAATAGTTGGCTTATCAGAAGTGCAATAATTATTTTAAAAAATTTTTTGATTAAAATTATTTAATTTATTATTTAAAGACTGATAAAAACCTGGACAACCAATAGACTAGGCTTAAAAATAGAACAGTTATAATAGTTGGTAATCAAAAGTGTATAAATAAAAAAGTGCTAGTTTTCAAAACAACAAAAAAAAAA